CCCCCACATTGCCCCCAGGCACCTCAGAGAGAAGTGCACAGGGTGGGCCCAGGATGGCTAAATCCCAGTGCAGAGGACAGGAGAAGGCCCTGGGGTGTGGCTTGGAGCTGAGTAGTCTGAGCCAAGCAGGGCTGGGGGCAGAGCTGTTGTGTGGTAAGGGCAGGAGAGGGCCAGAGAACGGCTCTGCGACAGGGGCTCTCTGCCTTCCCAGGAATGGGACATTGGGACATGGCCCGGTTGTGCCCTGGGTGCTCTGGCGCCTCTGCCATGGCTTGCAGAGCACTTTTATGTGGGTTATCCCCTCCAGCCTGTACAGAGCCTGTGAGCTGGATATTACCCAGCCGAGGTCAATGATTTGCCCGAAGTCACCCAGCAAGTCACCTCAGTGCTCTCCACAGCCCCTGTTTCTTCTGCCTGTCCCAACCCTCTGTAAGTGTTCTCTTGGCCAAGGGCAAAGGGGTGGAAAGCAGCACAGGGCTGGTGTGTGTGTGTGTGTGTGTGCACACGCGCGCACGTGCGCGCGCAGCCCTCCTGCAAATGGGGACACTCCTCTCTCTTTTCTTTCTGTTGGAAAATAGCAACTCAAGCCCTGGCCGGTGTGGGTCAGTGGTTAGAGCGTTGGCCTGTGGTCCAGAGAGACCCGGATTCGGTTCCCGCTAAGGGCACGTACCTTGGTTGCAGTTTGTCCCCGGCCCTGGTTGGGTCGTGTGGGTGGCAGCCACTCGATGTGTCCCTTTCATGTCGATGTTTCTCTCTCTCTCTCTCCCTCCCACTCTATCTGAGCAAAATATGGCAAGGTGTCCTCGGGTGAGGATTAATAATAATAATAATAATAATAATAAAAATAGCAACTCAAGTGCCTCACACAGTCCCCAGAGCATCATTCCATTCCCTTACCTTTGACATCCCCTTTCCCTGCCCTGTTCAAGGTCTTCAGGGGCACTCAAGGCTCAGTTGACTTGTGGGGGTCTCCAGCAATGGACATTGGACTATTGGAGTGGCTACCACGACTCCTCATTCCCATGCCCTGCACAGCCTTTTGCAAGCTTGTCCCTACTCTGACAATGGGCCGCCTTTTCCTGGCCCCCTTACAGAGTGCCCACAGCAACAATTTGGCATTTCAGTGGGGGCACTGGAGGGAGAGGAGAATAAGAGAAGTGAGTGGCATAGATAGGACAGGGCAAGATATCACAAATGGGTGTGTGAGCAGCAGGAAGGGGACATGCTATCCCTTACCAGATATCTGGGGTTCCAGAAGCCCTGGGGTGGACCCTGCCTTCCCCAGGAGGACCTGAGGTCAGTGATAGGCACATATGACAGCCAGAAACAGACACTAACCACCCACTGCCCATCTGGCATCTAGTTAGAGCCTTCTCAGATCCATTCCTAGGAAGGAATCACATTTGTGGAGCACCTTCTATGTGCCTGGCACTGTGGCAGCCACTCTATATTTGTCCTCCCCGGGGCGGAGGCTATTATCTCCATTGTGCAGATGAGGAAATTGAGGCTCAGAGAGGTTATGTGACTGGCCTAGGACACACACATAATGTAGCCAAACCAGGATTTCAACACAAAATAGTCTAGTTCAGAACTTCCCACTTCATGGGATTGTGGTGGAGTAAAGCAAGGAGGCAGGGTAAAGAGCCAGTGTTGGGCCAGGGGGAGGAGGGCAAGGAGGCTGCTTCTGGGAGAGGTTTTTTTTTTTTCTTTATTGATTTTAAAGAGAGAGGAAGGAAGAGAGATAGAAACATTGATGAGAGAGAACATCGACTGGCTGCCTCCTGTATGTGTCCCACTGAGGATCGGGCCCACAACCTGGGCATGTGCCCTGACTGGGAATCGAACCAGCGACCTCTTGGTGCATGGGTCGATGCTTAACCACTGAGCAACCCGGTTGGGCATGGGAGAGGTTTTGAGTCTTTATCTTCTAGATCAAGATTTGATGTGAGTACAAGGCAGGCTGGTGTGTGACTGGCTAGTGGTGGTGATGGTGGTGGTGGAGGGGGTTTCAGGCTGTCATGAAGTTGTGAGGAGAGCAAGGGTCGGGGACACTTGGTCCTCCAGGGAGAGTTTGATTTGATCCTGGAGGGGAGGCAGAGCTACTCGTATGGATGCCCTGATGAGACTGGGATTAAGAGTGGGAGGTGTAACTTTTCCTTTAGAAATGTGGTTTCCAAAGTGCAGATGCACCTATATAATCCCTTGGGGTGTGGTAAGAAAACATTGGAACTTTTATTTATAGTTTTAAAATAATCAATTTAAAAGTATTTTTTTGTGTGTGAATGTTTTTTTTTTTTTTTTTTTAAATATATAGTTCAGCGCGGTCGATGTGGCTCAGCGGATGAGAGTGGACCCACGCACCAAGAGGTTGTCGGTTTGATTCCCGGTCAGGGCACATGCCCAGGTTGTGGGCCTGATCCTCAGTGGGGGGCATTCAGGAGGTGGCCAACCCATGTTCTCTCTCATTGATTGTTCTATCTCTCTCTCCCCCTCCCTTCCTCTCTCTCTAAAATCAAAGAAAAAAATTTAAATATATAGTTCAACAGCACAGATAAAATAATATATAAATAGCCCTGGCCGGTTTGGCTCAGCAGTTACAGCGTCGACCTGCGGTCCGGAGAGACCCGGGTTCGGTTCCTGCTAAGGGCACTACTTCGGTTGCAGTTTGTCCCCGGCCCTGGTTGGTCGTGGTGCGGGTGGCAGCCACTCGATGTGTCCCTTCACGTCGATGTTTCTCTCTCTCTCTCCCTCCCACTCTATAAAAAAAAAAAAAAAAAAAAAAAAATATATATATATATATATATATATATATATATATATAGTTCAACAGCACAGATAAAATAATATATATATATAAATGTACATGCATTGAGAATTCCAAACCCCCGTCCCGAGGTACAGCCAACATGAAAGGTTTCCAGAACAAGACTCTGTTGAATTGCAGGGGTGGGGAAGAGGAATCGGAGGGGGTGATTGTAGAATAGACTCGGGATAGCTATTGGCGGCTCCTGCTGGTCGTTACTCAATACAGCGCCGGATCTGTTGGAAATACAGAATGCGTACTCAGAGTTTTATTTCTCTCTGTGCCCTGCCTCCCAAAGCTCTGGGAGAACATCCACCAGAGGAAAACTTTGATTTCAGGGGAAGCAGAGACACCGTATTCATCCTTGTAACCTCTGGGGCGAGGCAGGGAGGAAGACAGAGCTAATTACAGACTCAAGAGGGGGAGGATACCTCCCTCCACTTCCTTAATCCCCACCCCACCCCCGCAGGACGGTCAGCCTCTGACTGCCCCTCAAACCCGCTTCACTTCCCAGATACTCTAGCACCCTCATTCCTTTGGGCCCAACTTAGAACACTTACTGCGCCTTTGTTATGATGTTCAATTATACCACCAAAAAGTGTTTGGTGTCTGACACCCCCCTTTCGACCTCCACCCCAGGCTGTGAGCTCTGAGAAATCAGGAGTCACTGAAACTGGCACCGAAGCTGCTATCTGACTCAGTATCACAGAAGCTGGCACCCTGTCTGGAACAGAATAGGAGTATCTTAGTCTGAGCCCAGAAACGTTTCTCCCCGTTCTGTAATCTCACAGGGCTGTTGTGAGAATCGAACAATTTATAAGGTCCTGAACAGATGGGAGGGGTTAGCCTTCTTTAAGGCCCTTAATAGAGAGATACTGTTGATTGATGGGGGGAGGAGGCTTGCAAGAATGGGTTGGGCTCCACCTCCTTAGTGGATCCCACTTTGACGGGATCCTGATTGGAATTGAAGCTGCGGGTTGCTGTGTGGTAATAGTTAGTTGATTGAGAAGTAATTACCGTTTTATTTTTTATTTTATTTATTTTTTTATCCTCACCGGATGACATTTTTGCATTTATCTTCAGACAGAGTGGGAAGGAGAGAGGGGGGAAGAGAGAGAAAGAAACTTGGACGTGAGAGAGACACATCGAGTGGTTGCCATCCGCACAACCCCAACCGAGGCCGGGGACAAACTGCAACCGAGGTACTGCCCTTAGCGGAAACCGAACCCGTGACTCTCTGGTCCACAGTCTGACTCTAACCGCTCAGCGAAACCGGCCAGGGCAGTAATTACCGTTTTAGAGGGATTGAGAATCCTTCCATTTCCCAACTAAATGCGGAGGGATTCCTTGCCCAGAGATGACCAGGTGAGAGTGGAGGGTAGCTTTCATAATGGGAAGGGGACTTTTTCCCGAGTTGAATTAGGAGGATCTTCTGGCTTGAAGGCAGAGGAGAGAGTTGGAAGCAAGAAGCCTCTTTGGTCGGAGATGGAAGCCTGCAATCCAGTCTCTGCCATCTGGAGTCACTAAATCTCTTCTCCCTCTATAAAGGCAGAGAGGGCTTTCAGTAGAGTGTGGCCTGGTTCTACGGGTTTTACCTATACGTACACACAGACCTATGGCCTCTGGAGCTCAGGGACAAGCAGAGTTACCAGGGACTCAGGGACCAGTCAGTCTCCTGCTTCTAGGATGGATTCCCAAGTCAAATCCATTTCTGAGATTTCCAAGCAAGTTTTCAGGATAAGTTCCTTAGGAGCCCAGTAAGTACGTAAGAGGGATCACTCTGGCACATTTCAGAGCGCAACTGGAGGGGTTGGGGTACTACCCAGGCCAGGGTAGTTCCGCAGCGGGCCCCAAAGGCTCGACTCACTGAGCGCTCCACTCACTGAGCGAAGGGTGGTGGTCACCCGGAGCTCCCAGGTTTCGTAGGCCTTACAGCGCCTTTCTCTAGCAGGTCTGGGGTGGAGCCAGAGGCTGGGCGAAGGCGGGCAACTGGGTTTAACCCTTTATTTACTTCTTGAGATGGGACTCTGACGAAAGATGGCGAGTTACTTATTTCTGTATTCTGTAGACAGGGAATATGGACCAGTTCTCTGGTCCAAGCTTAAAATAGGGTCTTGAACCCCTTCCCGAAGACGCCCCCCCCTTTTGCAAATTCTTCCAGAGAGTCGGGCATCCAGGTGAGTCCCTAAAAGCTACCCCTAAGTCGGAGGCCCTATGGGGGTGAGTCTCTTGGTCTTTGGAGGCCTCTCTAAACTCCTCCTGTTCCCTTTCCCAAATGGGAAGCCAGATAACGAGGAAAAGTGAGGCGCGCTTGGAACGGGAACGCGGATTTAAGCTGAGGGAAAGAGGCAGAGTAATCTTTCACCATCGCCCTTTTAAGGGATCGCTGGGCGACGACTAGTAGGGACACTAGTAGGTACAGGTCCCAGTTCGTGCTACCCCGAGTGGGCGGGACGCAGAGGGTCGTGGGCAGTGCGATGTCTCTCAAACCGCCACCTCCCTGTCTACCCACTGGCTGCTCCGAAAGACTACTTTCGGCGCGTTTGTCCCGAGACCTCCACATCGCCCCCCTCCCCTCTCGGTCTCCGCCCCCTCGCGCACCGGAGGCCTCGCCGCTTTAAGAGCCGGCGTAGCGATTGACAGCAAGAAGCGCGTAGCGCCCGGCAGCACCGGAGCCGCCCGAGCTAGGGGCTCCCCCGCGCGCAGGTAGGTGGCCCCCGACCCCCGGGCCAGCACCCACCTCAGGATCCCTTTGTCCTCTACGTCCAGGCACCGCACTTGGGATCCTATTCTCTGGGTCCAATCTCCCCGGACCCCTTCCCCTAGGCCCGCCTCCCCTTCACCCCCTCCGGTCCCCCCTTCCTTCTCGGGTGCTCCTGGAGAGAGAGAGACCAAACCCCACGGCCTGTTGTCGCTGGCCCCCGCCCCTGCGGCAAAGGCTCCAAAGTGACATCGGGCACAGAGCTGGTGAGCTGTGCGGGGACCGGGGGCTGTGCGGATTCGGGGGACTTCGGAGCCCGGCATTACGTAAGAACTGCGCTGTTAGCGCTTCCGGGGGGTGGGGGCGCCAGACACAGGTTGCGTGGGTCCCTGTGGCTCCCCGGTCCCCTTGGGAGGCTAACACCTCAATCTGCCCTGGGAGTGGGTCCTGGGAAGGGGCGCATTCCTTCTTCCTCCTCCCAGGCTGTGGGGATGGGGTCGGGGGCCATGGTGAGAGCCTGTAGACTTGGGAGGGGATCTTCGTCAGGACCAGGGAACGAGGGTCAGAAAGTTAGGTCAACTAAGGGGGACAGAGTGAGGACCGGGGCGGGGGACAGCCATTCAGTGACCTCATCCTTTGGTCTCCCGCGAGCGCGCTAGCAAAGAGCCCTCTTTGATGGCTCGCAACACGCCCCCCTACTCCCAGGTCCTAGCGCCCAGCATGTTAGGGCTGGGCTCGTGGGGCGGGGGCGCTCCGACTGTGGCTGCACGCAGTCCGCGCGGCCTCTAGAACCCCATCGCTCAGGCTGTCGACCCCTCCCTACGACCTGTCGGTCTTAAAAGCGCCTTTGTCAGAACGTTCTTTTCCACATCTCTTTAAACGGGTATTGATGGAAGGGTGGGTGGGAGGTGGGAGAAAACCTCTCCCTTTCACCTCTGGCCCACATTACCGGCTCACCCTGGGTCATGTGGATAGCCTGGAGGTAGGGGTGGGAGGCACCCGGGTCCAAGTCTTCGGAAGCCGTGGTGCGAGTTCCCAGATGCCTGGGCCCCGGACCTTGGCCTGGAGCCAGCCTGGCTTGCCTGGCACTGCTGTTCTCCTGTGGGCACAACCGGACCCCTCCCTCTCAGAGGCTCGGGTGGGGGTGGGGCAAAGCTAGCCGCTGCTGTGGGAACCGACTCCTCAGGGAGAAAACCCAGGCAGGCTGGGTAAGACTTCTGGGGACTGGATCCCCGCTGCTCTTCCCACCCTCCACCCTCTAGGGAAGGCGGACGTCTGCGTCCTCTGTCAGTACCTCTGTCAGGGAGAGCAGCGCCAGCCAGGGGAAAGTTCCAGGTTCCAGGTCGTTAGGACCTGGGATAGGGCAGGAAGAGAGTCCTTCTTGCTGCTCTCTAGGAATGGGGTCTGGGGGGCACTGGCTAGCATAGTTGATCCTGAGCTTTTCTCCCAGCCTGGGTACCAGCCTGACAAGAGGCTGCTTTCTTCTCTCTGAAAGCTGCTTTCTTCCACATCTTCAGGGGTAGACCTAGGAGAAAGGGGAGTCATCCTGCCATCTTTGTAATTTCTGTTATCTGAGCTCAGATGACCAGCTCTGGCTTGGGAGGGGAATGCGAGAGGATAGCATTAAAATCAGGTAGTGGTTCCTCTGGAAAGAACCCTTTCTTTGGGAGGGAGGTGAAGTTCTGGCTCCCCTATGCCCTGGGCCCAGCACACATTCAGCCCTAAAGTGGGCACTACCAGCTACTTCCCTCCACTCCTCCACCCCTACTGTGAACCACTGCCTCTTGTTGTCATGGCAACTGGGAATTAGGGTTTTCTCCAACAGCACATGCCCAGGAAAGCAAAGGGAGGAAGGGTGGTGGGTTGCCCCTCACCATCCCTCCCATTCCCTTCCCTGAAGATTGGGGAAGCCAACACTAGCTTGGAAAGGCCATGGAATGGGAACTGGGGCTGTAAACCCCATACCTGGTTATGCAGAGCCCCCTGATCTCCTTGTTCCAACTCTGGGCTAAAAAGGAGTTAAGGAGGGAAGAGAAACCCAGAGAGGCCTTGGGGAGGTATGACAATATTTCTATCAGACAGACTGACAAATATTTGTGGAGCATCTGTCTATTTTGTGCTAGGCCTAGGATTCAGAAGCAAAACAAAACAGATGTAGTTCTTGACTTCATGTAGCTTACCATCTGGGAATACCCACCTTTCCTGCTTTTTTTGTTGTTGTTAATCCTCATCCGAGGATATTTTTAATTTTCTTTTTTTTTAATCACTCGAGGACATTTTTCCATTTTTTGTTCGAATAGAGTGGGAGGCAGAGAGAGGAAGAGAGGGAGAGAGAGACATCGACATGAAAGGGACACATCAAGTGGCTGCCACCTGCACGACCAAACAGGGCCAGGGACAATTGCAACCGACATACGTGCCCTTAGTGGGAACCGAATCAGGGTCTCTGGACCACAGGCCGATGCTCTAACCACTGAGCAAAACTGGCCAGGACTCATCCGAGGATATTTTTTCCATTGATATTTTAGATAGAGTGGAAGGGAGGGAGGTATATAGAGAGACACATCGATTGGTTACCTCCTGCACGATGCCGACCAGGGTGGGGATTGAACCTGCAACACAAGTACATGCCCTTGACCGGAAATTGAATCCATGATTCTTTGGTCTGCGGGCCATCACTCTTAAGAGCTGAGCCAAAGCAGCCAAGGCCATCTTTTGGCTCAAATTCTGTATTCCTACCTACTCCATCTCAAAAAAAAAAAAAAAAGGACATCCAGGACAGCCCTGGCCAGTGTGGCTCAGTTGGTTGGAGTGTGGTCTTATACACTGAAAGGTTGCAGGTTTGATTCCGGATCAGGGCACATACCTAGGCTGCAGGTTCGGGGCTCTCACGCTCTCTTTCTCACTTCCTTCCCCTCTTTCTAAAATCAGTTAACATGTCCCAGGGTAAGGACTTTAAAAAAATGGCCCAGCTGGTGTGGCTCAGTGGTTGAGCATCAACCCATGCCCCAAGAAATCACAGGTTTGATTCCCAATCAGGGCACATGCCCAGGTTGTGGGCCAAATCCCCAGTTGGGGGCATGCAGGAGGCGGCCATTCGATGTTCTCTCTCATCGATGTTTCTATCTTCCTCTCCCTTCCTCTCTCTCTAAAATTGATAAAGAAAAGAAATTCTCTATAGTTTAAAAAATAAAAATAAAAATAAAAAGGACAGGTGGTGTGCAGAAACACTAAATTTTTTGTTTTAAGAGTCATAAAATCTGGGTTTTCAATGTAGCTCTCTTTATTAGCTTTGTGAGCTTGATCAAATCAATTAAATCTCTCTGATCCTTTGTCTCCTCCTCCTTGAAGAAATGGGCATGAAATATCTGCTCTTCCTGCCTCCTAGGACTGTGGGATCATCCAGGGCAATGTCTTCCTTCCTACCTTGTTGGCTGATCCCAAGGGTGGGGGCCCTTGCTAATTCCTTTCCCATTGCTTTGCCTTTGTTTTTTTCTCATCCTTCTCTTTCCCCTTCTCCAGGAGAGACATTTCAGAGCCCTTGCTGACCTCATCATGCCAGTTGCCGCCACCAACTCTGAGACTGGTAAGAAGGGAAGAAGATGTCAGTTTATATCAGTGGTTTAGAGGTTGCCAGGCAGGGTGGGGAGCAGCAGTCAGACAGTCCCACAGGTCCCTGTAAGAACACCAGTACTCCACCCAGCCACTCAGTCATTCATTATGGCAGCTTCTATGGCCCTGCCACACCTGCCCAGGGTGGGGCTGGAGACACAGCATAACTCACCTCCTTGGAGGGCAGGGGTATGCATGCTCCAGAGATAATGCACACTCACTTTGGCTGGAGGACAATGGCATGGAGCCTGGCTGGTGAGAAAGTGGCCCCTAGGAGCTGGGCCTTGGAGGATGGCTGGGGTGGAGGAAAAAGAGCAGCCCAGCCAGGGGATAAGTCCATGTTGTGGTGTCCACCAGACAGGTGAAGTAGACCAGCATATGCTAGAGTTGGGTGTGTGTGTGTAGGGGCATAGGAAGCTATGTATGAAGAATGCCAGATGAGAAAGCCTCATCTTGGTTCTGTAGGAGGCTTTAGGGCAAGGGAATGGGCCACCCAGACAAGCTAGGAAGCCGCAGGAACAAGCTGCTTAACTACCCGGAGCCTGTGTTTCCTCTTTTGTAAAGAGGTTGATGGAAGATTCAAAGGCTATGCTGGAGAATGAGAGTCACTGTTAGAAACAGTCACAATTATTATGCTATGCTCTGAGGTATTACCTCATTAACCTGTGATCTTGAGTCAATAATTTCCCTTTTGGGACCTATGTTTCCCCATCTCTAAGATGAGATGATGGGACGTGATCATTGTTCATAACTTTTGTTGGTCCTGGATCCCTTTGAGAAACTGATGACAGCCATGGGCCCTCATCATAGACAAATGTCTCTCTGCACAAAATCTGTTTTCTACTCTGGGGTTCATGAACACCTTAAATGCATTTAAGGACACACCAGGTGAAGTTCCCTGTGCTAAAGGGCCTAACAACTGTAAACTGCTCTGATTCTTCTCTGAGTTGTCTGCCTTCCCCATGGCCTTGATGCCTCCCTCCCATGCAGGCCTTGCTGGAGGCCTTGCTGCTGCCTCTGTAAGATGTTCCAGGCCTCCTAACTTGGTTAAAATGACTGTTCCTCCCCTCTGAGAAACTGAAGTAGGAAAGTAAGGGCTACTGTGAGTGGGCCAGAACCTACACTGTGACACCATTGTCCCCCAGGAAAGGCCTCTTCTTCATGCAGTGAAGGGAGTGTACCAATGTTCTCTAGCTTCTGCGGCTTTGGAGGGCTCAGTGCCTCCACCGCCTGTGCAGCCTGCTGGGTCCCCTGGGGCCCCCCTGCTCTTGCCTGCCTGGGCCCCATTGTAAGCTGCTTAGGGGTTAATTAAGCCCATCCTTGAGCCTGTGATTAAAGGCCTCTCAATCTGGGGCTGCCCAGTAAACCCATTAATAGTACCTGGCAGGGGTGTAGAGGGAGGAAAAGGCCCAGCAATTTAGCTTCCTTGCTGCAGGCCAGTTGATGGGAGAATAGTTGGGTGAGGGGGTGAGGTAGGAGACAGGGCAGGGGTGTGGCTATTGGGCCTACTTCCTCTGAGGACTCCTGGGGCTCCTGCTTCCCTGGGCTGCTTCTGCATCTCCAAATCTAAAGGAGAACAGGAGCAAGCTGCTTAACTTCTTGAAGCCTGTTTCCTCTTATGTAAATAGGTGATGTGCGACTCAAAGGCTATGAATCTCTTAGCCCTTCCTGCAGGCAGCCCTCTGTGCCCACCCTGAGCTAGATTGGCTCCTGGCCTCAGACATCTAACGGTGGGTTCTACCCCTCCTCACTTGGTGGCCATTACACTTCCTACAGGCCTGTGAGACAACTGTGCCTCTGACTCTGAGGTCAGATTCACTCTGCCACTTGCCTCTTTCTTCCCGGGGAGATCCCAGCCTTTGGCTCTGCAGAGAGTGAAGCTAGCAAGGTCCTTCTGCCACCAATGGGTCAACATGGTTATTGTCATTGTGGAAGGGGGGATGGTATGGGTGTATTCCTCTTGCAGAGATCCTAGCTCTACTTCTAGTGAGGTGGAAGGGCCCTTTTCCTGAGGGTTGGGGGTGGGTTGAGAGAAACATGGCAGGGAGTGATGGCATGAGCTGAGCGTTGAGAGAATTTGCCCCTGGAGTCTCCAGACCTGCAGCCTTGCCCTTTCTTCTCCCTTCACCTAACTCCATCCTTTCTTTGAATGCAGTGGGGATGAAGGCTAATTTCAGATGGAGCTGTCCCTTTAAATCTCTCTTGCATCCTGGGGTTAATGTCCTGGCGTGTAATCCCTCCTGTTGCCATGGCAACCAGGGGTGCAATGCAACCTGGTGCCACTCCTCAGGGAATGGCTGTTTGGTGGCAGGAGCAGCACCTGGTGGTGGCCTCATGGGTACAGAGTTTGAGAATAATGGAGGCACTGTGCTGGGGTAACTGCCAAGTCTCTCCTTCCTGCCCACCCTGTCCCTGCTGCAAGAATGCTCCCTCATCTTTTTCCTTTCTTAATTCCAAGATACCTGATTTGCCCACCTGCCTGTTACCCAAGGGGAGGAACTAATGGGAGATGGGAGAAGCTGCAGCTGAAATGTGGGCTGAGAAGGGCTTCCCAGCCACAGTGGTGCCACTCCCCATTCCCCTCCTTTTTCTCCCTGTCATACCCTCACCCCCAGTGTCTGGCAACTAGGAGGAGGCATTTGGGGTTTGAGGTATTTGCCCCATGCCACAGTGTTGCCACTGCCCCAGGCGGAGTGCTGAGTGTCGTCTGGGGGGCTTTCTTTGATCCTGAAGGGGTCATTGTAAAGAAACCTTGGCTTGAAGACTAGAGGTCGGAGGTCAAGGGGAGGAGGTGGCGTGGGGGTGTATTAGAGGACAGACCTTCAGAAGAGAGGGCGGGAACAAGGTGGGGCCAAGTCCCCACCCCCTAGTGTTTCCTGCAGCTGGGCTCTAAGGGGAGGGTCTCTGAGCACCGCCCCAGGTCTGTAGGGGCAGCACGCGTACCACCCCAGTCGCTCTTTCAGACGCCTCCTCCCACTCCCACTGGCTGGTACGAAACCGAGGGGGATCAAGCCAGCGGTAGGACTGGGACTCTTTCTCCCACCGCCCCTGCCTTTGGCCAATCAGCAAGGCGGTCAGGGCAGCCGAATCTTGCTATTGGCTGATCCTTCAGAGGGCGCTCCCTGAGTCCCGCCTCCTCCAGCGCTGTCCGCCTCTGGCTGGGAAGGCAGCCCAAAGCCCAACTGAAGGCTCCTCTCCGTCCCGGGCTGGGGTAGGGGGCAACCATGGCGGGCAGCCCAGGCAGCAGGGCCTCCTTGGAGGCTATATCCCTGGGCTCCTCTGAGGAAGCTGACCTCCGGAGGGAAGGTAGGGAAAGGCGGGTCCAGAGGCTGAGGGGAAAGCTCGTCCCATAGGGTTTGGAGGCATGTGGATAGGGTGCCCTAGGTATGGGCTTCCGGGAGTCCAAGGATCTGGAGGCACGGCAGGTCAGGAGAGCTGGCTTAGAGGGCGCCGACTCCCCTGCCTCAGTCCTTCCTCATGGTTGGCAGGCTGGGAAGTCTGTGTGAGAGGACAGCTGGAGAGGGTGGACCCCCGGATACCCTGCAGAGTAGGAAGGGTCCATGCCCTGGCATCTTTCTGAGCCCACTAAGGGCCTTGCAGGTCTCTGACCAATGCCAAGCCCAGGCCAGGCAGGAAGGGTTTGGGGGACAGGCGAGGATGTTGTTTCTGGAAAAGGTGGGGTAAAGGAGGGGGAAGAGGGTGGGAGTCCAGTAGCCCCTGAACCATGTCTGCAAGCTCCAGTTTCAGTGTCCCCTCCTTCCCATCCCCATTCCTTCCTGGAGGAGGGGGGGGGGGCACTGACAAGAGCAGTAAGAAGCTCCAGGGACTGTATCCACCCCTCCTTCTCCATGGCTTGGGAGCTGTTATGCAGATATAAGAGTGGGTGGCAGGGTGGCAGATTAATGATACCCCCTGCCCATCTCTGCCCCCAGCTGGGCACACTCTGCTTCTCCTTTCCTCCTCCAGAACTTGCCACAGCTGGGAACTCCCTCCTCTGCTGGTGGGTGACCACAACACCTACCTCAGATCTCAGCAGCCACTGTTGGGGCCCAGCATCAGGTGTCCTAATGTTCTTGGTTATGTCCTTTCCCAGGCTGAGGGTTTGCTGATCTGTGGGATGACTTGGTCTAACTCTGCCCTTAGGTGCCCACAACCATCCCAGGCTCCAGGGTGCCTGTTTCCCAAGCTCCTGCCAATGTACTGGGCGTCAGCTTTGGCTTCCCATGATCTATATTAATTTCTCAATGAATGATTATAGATCATTATCAAAGCTGAAGGGCTTGTAGACACCACATAATCCAACTCACCCATTATATAGGAGGGAAAGACCGAGACCAATGAGGGACAGTGACTTATGCAAAATCTCACTGAATTAGTGGCACAGCTTGTACTGGATGCTGTATAGGCCCTGGCTTCCCGCATGTCTGCCTGCTTACCTCTAGGTCTGCTCTCAGGGACATGATCCAAGCACTGTCTCTGTCATTTCTGAGCCCTCCAGGTACAGGTAGCTGAGTGTTGGGGCTTCAGCCCATTCAGAGGTTGAGTGATGAGCCTGTGGTTCTCTGATTCAGGGCAGAACCTGGAACCTGGTGCCTGTTTCCCTTTCTACTCTCCCCGAACAGCCCCCTCCCCCTCCCACACACACATACACATCAGAGTCTACTTCCTGCTGCCTGGACCCTCCCACCTACCCAGGCTGGCATTACCTAGGGCCTATAGAACAGGCCAAGGACACTCCCTGATTCTAACTGGTCCCTTGCCCCAGGCATTCCCATGCCTGGCAGGGAGAGAAGTACTGCTGGGAAGGGGCTGTCTTCTGTGGGATGTGGGGTGGGAAGGGTGGGGTTTTTGTCTGTTTTGATCTCTTGTGCCCAGCTGGCGCCTGTGTATCTCACTGCCTACCCTTCCCCCCAGCCATGCAGCAAGTCCTGGACAACTTGGGATCCCTCCCTAATGCCACAGGGGCTGCAGAACTGGACCTGATCTTCCTTCGAGGCATTATGGAAAGTCCCATAGTAAGATCCCTGGCCAAGGTATAGTGCTCCTGGGAGGCCGGTGCAAGGGTACTGTGTCTGGGGAGGCACAGTGGAGATGTTAGCCACTCAGGGGCCCTGGGAATGGGGCATGTGGCACAAGAGACACCTCAAGGGAAGTATGCATGAATATCCATGCCCAGATGATGGATCTGAGCAACTATAGGTGCGGGGTTGCCCCAGGCCTGGCTGGTGAGTGTGGGAATGGGCCCTAGTGGATGCCTGTTTGGGGACTGCCAGCTTGTGGAGTGTACGATGGGAGGGGGTGAGCATGCCTGTGCACTGGAATCTCCAGAGCTCATACTGTCTATCCCTCTGTCGTTGGGCATTTTGTGCAGACATATTTACAAGCTCACCTGCCACTCATCCGGTGGGGAAAAGACTCACTAAACAAAAAAGTGACAGGGGCAGATGCAGTAGGCATTTTGGAGCGTAAAGGATAGATGCCTAACCCAGCCGGGGTTGAGCAGGGGAGGCTTCCTGGAGGAAGGGCCACTTGAGCTGAATATTGAAGGATGAGGAGGAGGGGGAAGGCATTTTGGCCCATGGAAAGAGTTTGAGCTGAAGCATAGGTGAGAAAGAGCCAGAAATAAACGGGACTGGTGTGAGGCTGGAGTTTCAGGTGTGAGACAGGGAGTATGAGTTTCCGAGATGCTGGCAGGTGGTGGAGGCTATGCCTGGGCACTTGGGCATTGTCCTGTGATTAGCATGAAGCCTTTTATGGGTTTTTAGCAGGAGTCTGATGACGGAACATGGACATTTTAGAAACATCCCTCTGGCAGCCACATGGAGTTGGAGAGACCAGGGTCAGGGAGGGCTTTGAACTAGACCTCTAGTAACAGGGCTCCAGGGAGGGGAGGATGAGAGAAATACTTAGGAAGTAAATTGGCAGTACTTGGTGTTGGGTATGGAAGGTGAGGGGTGGCGGTAGCAAGGCACCCCGGCTTCTGTAGAGGAAAAGTGTTGGACTGGTGCTGTCTTCTGTGAGAAGAAGCATGGATGAGGGAAGGAGCAGATGAAGAAGGAGCTCCCTCTCCTGAGGTGAAAGGAAAAGGTGAGAATGGTGCCAATAGCTGTGCTGGAGGCAGGGCTGGGAGTTGCATAGAACCGTTTCTGATTGCTCAGATTCCCAGCAGAGGTGGGGCAGTTGTCTGCTGGGAATTAGGAACCAGGGGTTGAGCAGGAAGATAGGGATTTAGAAGTAAAGGTTCAACTAATCACTGAAGGGGAGGGGAGAGGGAACAGGGAGCAGGATCGAATGCGCCTAGACTGTCTGTGATAGGTGCTGGATTTCCCAGGGTGGGAGTGACTCAGTCCAGAGATGCAGAGATAAAAGGGGTGGCTTTGGTTCAGGACTTGTGCTGGATGGGGGCTGTGGGAGGCTGAGATGCAGGGACCAGTGTGAAGGGGACAGGTGAGAGCAGCTCAGAGCATCACCTCTGGAACCCAGGCTGGGGACCAGGAGGAGACAGAGAGGCAGGGAAAAAATGGAGGTGCAGGCCTGGGGGCTCTTGGAGGTCACAGTGTTGGTGGGAAAGTGTATAGCTGGAAGAGAAGAAGGCCAGGTTGGAGAGAGGGAGGTGGGAGGTGAAAAATTTCCAAGGAGACAGTCTGGAGGATGCCCTGACAATGTAGGGTGTGGCTGCAGTGGACAGGAGGTCATGGATGTTAAAGAGGTCTGGGAATGGAAGACTTGGGTACAGGGTGGGTGGTCTATACAGGCATTGGAATCTAGGATTACAGCAGGCATTGGAGGGGGAGAACACTGAGGCAACCCCTGGGTCTTCAGTGAATGGTGGTGGGGGTGACCAGGAAGTCAGCAATGACTGTGATGGTGGAGAGGGAGAGGATGATACAAGGGGGCGGGGGGACGCTGTCACAGGACAGCTGTGGCCAGCCCTGGCTTGAAGTGTGGAAGGGGGCCAGGCCCCACAGGAGGGAGAGAGCTTCTGTGACCAGGCTGGGTCCCTGGGTCACAGCTTGGTCAGTTATCATCTGTGGAATTGTGAGGACCTGGGGAGGTTGCTAATAGGGGAAGATGAAAGGTGTGAGAGGATTAATAGTGGGAGGGTCTGAGGAAAAGAAAACTGAGCGGATTGGATGAGATTGGAGAAAAGCAGGTTGCTTTTCACTTGGTAATCAGAGATTATATTTATGTATTAAAAATAAAAACACGAACTTATGCATGTTTCAAACAGAGAGAATGTGGGCTCCATGAGGACAGGGATGTCTCTTTGGATCTCTACTGTGTCCTGAGAGCTGGAACAGTGCCTGGCACATAGTACGTGCTCACTGAATTTTTGCCAAATGCCCAAATACAGCAGATCTCTGAGAACCCATCTCCAGGATGTGGATATGTGGATGCTGGCCATATTTAATTTCGCTACTGCTCTTCCTTTTTCTTTTTTTTTTCTTAATCCTCACCCGAGGACATTATTTCATATTTTGTTCAGATAGAGTCGGGGGGAGAGAGAGAGAGAGAGAGAAAAACATCGACATGAAAGGGACACATCGAGTGGTGCCACCCGCATGACCCAACCAGTACTTGGGACAAACCGCAACCGAGGTACATGCCCTTAGCGGGAACCGAACCCGGGTCTCTCTGGACCGCAGGCCGATGCTTTAACCGCTGAGCCAAACTGTCCAGGGCTATTGCTCTTCCTTTTTAAGAAATAAAAAGTATAACACAGGTAACACCTCTCCTCTTTTCCTTCGTTCCACTGCTTTTCCTCCCCACAGGTAACCACCACTGACTTGAGGTTGATGATGTCATACCCTGGAATTGCATATCTTGCCTATATATGTGTTTAGATGTAAATAATCTGTCCCTATTATATATGTTTTTAAACTCTATATAATAGAATGATAGTGCAAGCTGCTTAGGTTTTTGAGATTCCTACTTCATATAAATAGTATATTATTGACATAAGTAGAGATATAGATAGATTCATTTTAACCACTGTGTGGTATTCCACTATATGAATGGAGCCCAGTGTATTTACTTATTGGTTCCCATACTGAAAGGCAGGCATGTTGTTGCCTATTTGCCTCTATTAAGGACAGTGTTACAGCCCTGGCCAGTTTGGTTCAGCGGTTAGAGCATTGGCCTGCGAGCCAGAGAGACCCGGGTTCAGTTCCTGCTAAGGGCACATACCTCGGTTGCAGTTTGTCCCCGGCCCTGGTTGGTAATGTGGGTGGCAGCCACTCGATGTGTCCCTTTCACGTCGATGTTTCTCTCTCTCTCTTTCTCTCTCTTCCTCTCTCTCCCTCCCACTCTATCTGAACAAAAATGGAAAAATGTCCTCGGGTGAGGATAAAAAAAAAAAAAAGAACAGTGTTACATGAGATGTGAATGTCCTCACATCTTCTGCTTCTACATGTGTGAGGGTTTCTCTAGTGGGGGCCCTTGGCAATGGAATTGCTGAATATGCGCAGTATGAACTCAGCATCTGTAACCTTCCAAAGCTGATTTCAGAGTTGGATTTATTAGACCACATCATCTCTGGGTCATTTTAGCTATTGCTTGACAGTTAGACAGCCAATGAAATAAGGAGGGTCACTCAGGATGACAGAATCTCAGGGTTAGAAGGTCCTCTAACCAGTCCCCTCCAAAGCATGATCCCCCTCTGTAGCATTCTTCTCTGGGTACTTTGTCTAATCTATCTGACAGCTCTCCAGTGATGGGATTACTGGCTGATGGCTGTCATCTACTCAGTCATTCAGCCACTCAGTCATCCATCGTCTATTCAACAAATATCTATTGTGTGCTCACCAAGTACCAGGCACAGTGCTAGGGCTATGGCAATGAACTGTCAGTTTGTTCTTGTGCTGAGGGAGCCCAAGGCTTTCATCTCACCGAGCCCTGCGATGCCCCAGTCCTGGGACCTCACCGTATAGCCTGAGAGGTTACTAATGTGCTGTATCAGACCATAAGTGAGCTCCCTTCTCCTGCCTGAGCTCTGTAAAAGCCCTCTCATCTCCACAGGTGTGACCCTGTGCAATGTAACTTTGCCATGTATCCCATCAAAGGGTTGTCTCCACTCTTTAATCTGGGCTTGACCATGTGACTTGCTTTGGATAATGGGACCTACTTCTTATTCCTTGTCACCAACTTTAATGATTATGTATAGAGCAGTACATTTTTAACCTAATAGACAAAGTACTTCAGTCAAAGATCCAGCTGTAAAAACTTAGTTCTCCTGGCAAAGTGACCCAGAAACCCACAGGAATGGAGTCAAAGCAGAACCGCAAGGGGTAGCTATTAACCTTTTTACCTTACCCTTATGGAGTTGGGCTTGACTCTTCTCTCTGGAGATGTGGCAGACAGCATGGGAGGGGCCAGGCTGCTTAGATCTGGGACCAGGGAGGGACAGGGCCTGAGGGACAAACCCAGAGAGGTCAAGGCTCTGGAGGGAAGTCAAATCTGGCAGACAGATGCTAAATCCAGGCATTTGGCTGCAGACAGCAGGTGGCTGGCAGGCAGTTGGCATCTGAGAGGGCTGACATGGATCCAGCAGCAGGTGTTTGAACAACAGGCAAGGCTAAGGTAAGGAATTCAAGGCAGGTGAGATTCAGAAGTTCAGGCAAACTGTTAAACCAGCAGGGACATCTGCCAGCTGGGAGGCCTCTGAACTAGTCCACATGAGGTGAAGAAAAAAGAATACAGAGTTTGGAGTCAGAAGATTCACTGGCTGGCTGTGTGACTTTAGTATATCTGACAACTTCTCTGAGCTACAGTTATTTCTTCTGAGAAGTGGGGATAGGAATGCTGATCTTTTAGAGTCATCGTGCAGATAGATGGGGAGGTCATGGATTTGGAGGTGCTTTCTACATCATAAAGAGTGGTTATAAAGTAGTCTTAGCCATTGGACTAGAGCTCATAGGGAGCACCCTACTCCTGTGGTGAGGCCAAGGTAAGAGAGATGGCAAAACAAGACAGGGCCCTAGAAGAATGAGGGCCCATGGAGGTTACTGATAGACTCTGACCAGCAGACATGACA